CAAAACAAAACAAACAAATCAGACTTCCAGAATCTTACCAGGATGTCCTACAAGCATTTCAAACTTTAAAAGTTCCACCCAAATTCATTATGTTTCTCTCTAAACTCCTTCCAATTACTCCAACTCTGTACCTCTTGTGTCCCTACTGTGAACAGATGGCACTTTCTTCTATCCAGTTCCCCTAGCTAGGAACCAGTGAGCTATCATTTATTACTTCCCCCTTCTCCCTGCCCTTTCCTTCTCTCTAATGTCTATCCATTGATGATGACCTGTTGTTTCTATCTCCTCATTAGCTTTAGGGTCTCTCTTCTTCTCTCCAACATCAAAACACCATCATCTCTTGCCTGTGAAGGGCCTGTTAGTAGATATTTTAGACTTTTTGAGCCATAGGATTTCTGTTCCAATATTAGCACCATTTGTATCCTGAAAGTGGTTACAGACAAAATGTAAAGACACCGTTGCAGTTGTTTTAATATATATTTGTTAACACTACAACTTGAATTTCATATAATTTTCACATCATGAAATATTATTCTTTTGATCTCTTCTCAAAGTCATACAAAAACATCTGGGTGAGGTGGCACACGCCAATAATCCCAGCACCTTGGGAGTCTGAGGCAGGAAAATTTTGCGTTCAAAGCCAGCACTCAGGGAGACCTTAGGGAGTCCCTAAGAAACTCAGTGAGACCCTGTCTCTAAAATCAGAAAAGGGTTGGGGATATGGAACAATGGTTAAGTGCCCCTGGGTTTAATCTCCAGTACCAAAAAAAAAAAAAAAGTCATACAAAAACAGACGGTTGGCTGATTTTGGCTAGAGGCCACGATTTACTAACACAGATTATAATCTTCTTGGAAGCAGGGATCATTATCTGTCTTTTTTCCCCATTAGATATCTAAGGACCAACACAAAGCCTTCTGTGCACTCAATCAATATTTGGTAAATTTGGGGTGCAATGGTGCATGCATCCTAAATCATAATCCCAGTGATTTAGGAGGCTGAGGCAGAAGAATCACAAGTTTGAGGTCAGTTTGGACAATTTAGTGAGACTCTGTCTTAATGGGTAGGGATGTAGCTCAGTTCCTGAGTTCTATCCCCAGTAGGGGAGTGAGGGTGTGTGTGTGTGTGTGTGTGCCTGTGTGTGTGTGGAATAAAGTTGGTAAATGAATTATTAAAGGAGTAATTTGTACATAAACATTTTTTATTACAAAAGGACTTTGTGTTAATAGATAAAAAAAATGAGCATATCCACACAAAAATGAATACGCAAATCTTTACCAATCCCACCACTCAGAGATAGCCATCTTTTTATACTTTTGTGCAGTAGATGGTAAAAATTTAGAAAAAGTTTTTTTTTTTCCATGAATACAGAGTCTCACTAAATTGCTGAGGCTGGGCTTGAATTTGCAATCTTCCTGCCTCAGTCTCCTGGGTACTTGGAATTACAGGTGTATACCACCACGCCTGTCTGGCTAGGAAAAGATTGTTTTCTGGCCAAGGGAGTGGTGAAAAGTTGTTTCCCTTCAAACCGCAAGGGAGCTAGGCTTCCCCTTTCTGGCTGTAGGGGCTGAAGCTGGAGAAGAAAGATAAGGAGGAAGGATGGAAATGGTGCATGCATCCTAAATCATAATCCCAGTGATTATGGGGGGAAAGTAATTAGACAAGCAATTAACGATCTCCTACCACATGCAAAGCCAGACCCTGAAGGATAGATGTAGCACTCATGCTTTCTGTGTTTACAATTGAAAAGGTAGATAAGGAATTATAAGAGTGAGAACGATGAAATACGAGGGGGGGAAATTCACGGTGCTGTGAGAGTTTGAGGTAGGGGGTTTGTCTAATCTCAAGTGTGGGTTAGGCAATGCCTCCTTTCCTAAGGAAAGAAGACTGTCTAGTAATTAGTTGGACAAGACAATGGGAAGTTCCATAATGAGAGAGCGGGGCATCTTTATTTAGAGGTGTTTGGCTGGAGGGCAGAGAGGAGCAAGAATTAGCACGAGATCAGGTTGGCAAGGACCACATCAAAAGAAGCTTGTCATCTAGATCTAACTACCACTTTGTGGAAACTAAAGAAGACTAGTGAACAAATTAAAAAACACCTGGAGGAGAAAGTAATCAGTTAGCTCCAGAATGAAGAACAATTTATGGGACAAATGATCTGGGTTCCCAGTGGCATGAAAATGGGAAAGAAAGAAAAAGGAGGGTGATCTGTTACAGAATAAGAGGTTCTGCTGGCTCCATGGTGCATGTTCTATAATCCCAGTGACTAGAGGGGCTGAAGCAAGAGGATTCTAAATTCAAGATCAGACTCAGCAATTTAACAAGCCTTTCAGCAACTTAGGGAGACCCATCTCAAAATAAAAAATAAATAAATAAATAAAAAGGACTGGGGATATGGATGTGACTCAGAAGTAAAGTGCTTCTGGGTTCAATCCCCAGTACTAAAATACAAAATAAAACAAACAAAAACCAAAACAACAGCAACCAAAACAAACAACAACAACCTCAAAAACAAAAGGAAGAAGACCTAAGAAACATAACTACCAGAAGTCATGTATGGCTCTCATTTATTTCATTATTGGAACAAACCAACTATGAAAGGCACCTTTGAGATAACTGAAGAAATTTTAATATGAACTGGGCATTATAAGATACTAAGGAATCACTGTACATGGTGGTTACATTTTTTAAAAAGCCATTATTAGTTATAGATGCATATAAATGAGACGACTAGTGTCTGGTGTATGCTCTAAAATATTCTGGAAAAAATCTGGAGGTAGGAATAATAAAATGGGGAAAATGTTGATAATTCTTAAAGCTAGGTAATAGTTATACAGATATTTATTATTATCAGACTCTGGGCTTTGTGTATATTAGGAAACTTAGAGAATACTTAATAGGAAGAGAGCATCTTATATGCAATATTAAAGAACTTCACTTTTTAACTTTCTATTTTTGAAATGATTTTAGGTAAATAGATGGATTGCAAAGAGAATGTTTCCATAAGCCCTTCACCACCTTCCTCTAATGTTTTATCTTACACAACTATGGCATGTTAATCGAGATTAAGAAATCAGAATTGATACAACACTATTAGCTGAACTACAGACTTTATTCAGTTTCTATGATTTTTCCACCAAGGTCCTTTTTTTCTGCTTCAGGATCCAATCCAATGTCACATCTTCTTAGTCTCTTCTAATCTCGGTAACAGTGTTTTGGCCTTCCTTGCCTTTCATGGCTTTAACACTTTTGAAGAATGGTGTCAAGTATATTGTAGACTGTTCACAATTTGGATTTGTTGGATGTGTGCCATGATTAGCCTGAAATTGTGGATTTGAGGAAGAATACTGCAGAGGTGAGGTGGCTTTCACATCACATCATGTCAGGAGGCATATAGTGTCAACAAGACTTACTAAAAATTTTTCCTTTCTTTGTTTATATTTATTTCTTACATACATGACAACAGTGGGGTGCATTACATTATCCATTCACAGCACAATTTTTGTAACTCTGTAAAAAAAAAATCTTAGTCATTTGGTTAAGGTGGTGTCTGCCAGGTTCGTTATCTTTTCTTTTCTATATTCAGTAGCTTGAAAATCATTACTGCCTACAGTCAAGGAACTCCTTGGCCACAGGGTATTAAACTCAGGAGCACTCAACCACTGAGCCACATCCCCAGCCCTTTTCTGTATTTTATTTAGAGACAGGGGTTTCACTGAGTTGCTTAGGGCCTTGGTAAATTACTGAGGCTGTCTTTGAATTTAAGTTCCTCCTGCCTCAGCCTCCCTGTCTGGGATTACAGGCATGCACTACCATGCTGGGCCTCCATCTTGATTTTAAGAATGAGGGAAGTCACTGAAGGGACTTAGGAGAGGACTAAATTCAAATGTGTTTTATTTTTGTGGTGCTGGGAATTGAACCCAGGGCCTTACATATGCTTGGCAAGTGCTCTGTCATTATCATTTTTTTACACCTCCAGGCCCTCAAATATGTGTGTGTGGTTTTCCTTTTTTTTTTGGTACCAGGGCTTGAACCCAGGGACACTTAACCATTGAGCCACATCCCTAGCCCTTTTTATTTTGAGACAGATTACGGCTAAATTGCTTAGGGCCTCACTAAATTGCTGAGGTTGAACTAAATTGCTGGCTTTGAACTTGCGATCCACCTGCTTCTGCCTCCCAGGCAGAGGGGATTATAGGCATGCACCAGCCTCAAATGAGTTTTTCTATATATATATATATATATATTTTTTTTTTTTTTAGTTGTAGATGGACACAATACTTTAATTTCATTTATTTATGTTTATATGATGCTGAGGACTGAACCCGGCGCTTTACATGTGCTAGGCAAAAGCTTTACCACTAAGCCACAACCGCAGCCCCTCAATTTTTAATTTTTTTTTTTGTAGTTGTAAACAGACTGAATGCCTTTGTTTATTTTTATGTGGTGCTGAGGATCAAACCCAGTGCCTCACACACGCTAGGCAAGCGCTCTGCCACTGAGCTACAGCCCCAACCCTCAAATGTGTTTTAAAAAGAATACTTTGGCAGTAATGTGGAAATGACATATGATGAAGCTTGAGTGATTTTAGGAGATCAACCGAGCAAAAATTGATATTATTAGATGTACAGGAAATGAAGGATGAGAGAAGGTGGAGCTGGGTGGCTAGGGTCTTTCACTAAATCCAAACCAAAGGGTCTGTGTGTCCCTAAAATGTTGTCTGCTTCCCTATCCACCAAAGAGAACCCAATTTCTGCTTCTTGGTCTTTCCTTGCTTTGGGGCAGGTCCCTGAAGGTTATCCCGGCTGGAAAACGATTTACCTACATAAAAATTGGGAGAGGTTTGGGATTGTCAAGGAAGATCAGCATTCCCAAAGCTGAGTTTGAGATCAGACAAGTGAAAAGGTTTGGGACAAAATCAGTCATTCCCAAATCCTTCTCTCCTTTCCTAGTTTAATGGCCCAATTAAAAACAGGTAATCAAAGGGTCTATGACTCAGTGATTTCAAACAAGTAATTTTATTTACCTTTTCAGGTTCGGCCAACCAATCCTCCCCTTTGTATTTTTGTTTTCTTCTAGGATGTGTGTTTGGGAAGGGGGGAGTTGACTGCTACCATCTTTGCACTCATCTCCGCCGGCGGACTCCGCGTCCAGCCTTCTTTTCTCTTCGACGCCTATGGGCGGGGGCAGGAGGAGCTACGGGAGTTGGGGCTGGGGGCTGGGGGCGCGGGGTCGGGCGCCAAGCGGGTTTGTAGATCAGGTGGAAGATGAAGGCGTTGCAGTACCTGCGGGAGGCGCGTGGGCGCTGTCAGGGGCGGGGCCTGGGCTCTTAGGGGCGGGACTTATGGGCCCGGCGTTCAGGGAGAGGGGCTAAATAGGGCTCACAGCTCGCTAAAGGGCGAGCAGGGCCTTTTGCATCGTAGGAAAAGGAGTTGGGGAGAGTTCGTGAACTGGATCCAAAGGGGTGTATTGGAGATTATCTGGAACAGCGGGGATGGGGTGGTGGTGATTAGTGGGGACAGAAAAGGGGGGCTATAGGGCTGAGGAGAGTAAGGTTCCAGGAGAACCGAGACCTTTTAGGTGCAGAGAGTAAGAGAGGTTATGGGTCCAGAGGGAAAGTGGGCCCTTACCAAGGCATGCAGTTGTCGGCGGCTCTGAGGCGAAAGGGGGAGCGGAAGGGGTTGGGCTGTGGAGGACTGGTGCCCCCTCCCGTGGCCACTGCCATGGTCTGGTCGTCCATCACACAGGCATACTCGCTGCTCTCAGTGAAGAAAGCAGGCACTCGGAGAGACTGAGGTGGGGGCAGAGCCTTAGAGACTCCCTGAGAGGCTCCTCCCTCCAGATACATCCCAAGCCCCCAGGATGACAGTTGAAAACTGAGACCCTATGACACACCAGGATGCAACAGAGGCAGGAGGCAGTCACAGAGCTCAGAGGGTCCAGGACCCGTGGGTGCTCTCCACGTTTGGGGAGCAGTTGATGTGGGAGAAGAGAGTACAGAGGCTTTCAGAAAAGGAAGGAGGGGTTTGGGAAGAAAGTGAGATACCTCACCTGTAACCTGGGCAGAGAGCTCAGCCACGTGTCCTTGAGACCAAAGCCGGAATTAAATCCTGCCCAGGGAGAGCAGAGAGATGCTGGCTTCCATGGTCTCCTTCTCTCCTCCCTTCCCCATACTTCTCTCCCTTAGCCCCAGGCTCTTACCAATAACAAGGTCAGGCTTGGGCCCCTGGAGTAGATGATAGGGTCTGGCTGACACCTTGATCTGCAGGTCCCTGCGACCCCCTTTCTCTTTAGTCCCAGAGTTGAGCCGTGCTGATACTCCAGAATTAGGACGGACAGATACCTCAGGGCCATCCTGTGGAGCCAAGGGTAGGGCAGAGAAGCCACCAAAATTCAGGTGGATGCACCAGTTAAGACAGAAGAATGGGGAGAGGAAGACAAACATCGGGAGGCCAATAGAAGGATCAGGGCCTCCTTCAAGCCCTCACCCTTTGCAGGGTAAAATGTTGCTGGTCATTCTCAGGTGGCAAGGCATCACCCACAAACTGCAGCTCCAGGGCCACATGGGGAAGTAAGACCAAAAGCTCCTGAAGAACAAAGATAAGACAGGTCTAGCTCCCATCCTGTGTCCACCCCACAGCCAATGCCAGTCTCCAGGCCAGGAAAGACTTACCCAAAACACCATTACAAGGTCAAACTCTTTCCCTGCCTCTACCACATGGATCTTCAGCGACTGCTTGTTCTGTATATTGAGCTCAGGGACTAAGGAGAGGCCAGTTTTTAAGGATATGGTCTTTCTCAATGACCCCTCCTGCCCCTACATCCCCCCATCCTACCCTGTACTCCTTACAGGACTGGGGCACTAGGTGGGTGATGACATAGTACACGGTCAGCGGGTAGGTGAGAAGCACAGCCATGGGGGAGTCGAGGCTGAGGCCCCGCCATGTGTAGTAATCCTGCCACGAGCCTGGGGGAGAGTGGATTACTGGAGGACCCAGCTCCAAGCCTGAACCCCAACCTTTCTGGTCTAATAGCTCCCTTTTTCTCAGACACCCAGGCCTTCAGCCTTCCGTGTCCCCACCTCTGGATCCTTCAGGGCCCTTCCTGCTCACCAAAGAGGGCCTTGGGTGGATCTGAGGGCACTGGAGGCATCAGGGCAGGACCATCCCCCTGGAGAAGCTGGTAGGGATCTCCTGAGAGGATGAAAAGAAGAGGGAACCTTCACCTGACCCAACTTCTATTGCTTCCAGAAGAGCTGCATCCTCTGAGAGAGGGCCTAGAACTGTACTAGGAGGGATGAGAGCCTTTTTTAGGGTCAAGGCTACTGAATGGGATAGGCAGGGAGACCCCTTTGAAGGCTTCAGAGAGGGTTGAAATGGCACTGTTGGTGTTGGTAGGGGTTTGGTGTGTATATGAAGGAATTATCTGGGACCTGGTCAACTTTTTCTTCCCAATCCTTCCCTCTAGGCTGAGGACAGTCCCCACGCACCACTGAGAAGAAGGCCAAGGGATGGTGTGCTGCCCCGGGGGTGCCTAGGGGTGCCAGGTCCTGGAATCAGCATGCTGAGGTGAGTCCAGTAGCCACGAGTGAGTCCCCTGGAGGCCAGGAAGGCTTCCCTGTTAAAGGTTTCGCTGGTCACCTCTGGAGAAGGAGGGGAAGTATTGAGGGCCTGGAGTTGAGGCCCCAAGACTTTAGCTCTGCTCAACTTCCCCCAAGGAATCAGGGTCTGAGTCTGCTTCTAGTCAAGGAGGGAACTATCATTTCTGAGAGTCTACAGTATACCAGGCACAGAGCCTACACCATCCTTGTAACAATTCTGTGGGATTTTACATTTGTTAGTATTCCTCTTTTACAGATAAGGAAACTAAGCTTCCAAGAAGTAACATGATATGTTTAAGGTTGCACTGACAGTTGGTGGTGGAGCTGAGAAGCAAGCATTTGAAACCTACCCGAAAGTCCCCTGAGCTCTCACTGGGACCCAGGCACCTGGTTTTCCATTTCAGAGATCCTTTCTCTAGCCCCAAATACCCAGTACCCAAACTTTATTCCAGGGATCTAGACTTTAATCAAAGGCACTTAGTTTTCTGTTCCAGAACCTTGTTTCCAGGTACTCAGGCCCTATCTCAAAGACCTGGTCCCAGTGTTCACCCAGCCCACTCTGAACTCCTTATGGTACCTGCAGTGTAGGTGAAAGGCAGAGTTGCCAGTTCCCCTGCCCGCTCCATGAAAGCTGCAAGCCTTGGGCACCAAAATCGGTGGCTCACATCATCTGGACATCGCCGCCAATCAGCCCGGAGACAAATCTCTCCACAGTACAATACGGCACTGCACTGGGGACTGGGGGACATGGGGTGGTAGGCACCTAGTGTTAATCTCTCTAAGTCCTGTCTGCTGGCTGTCTGCCCCGCAGCTGCCCATATGTCATTTGGCCTTTTTGTCTTATACCCTCTAATTTACCTGTAATTCCTGTTTGTTTTTTCCATCTCTGTCTTTGTATTTCCCTGACCCTCCCTGTCTGTCGGCTGTCTCCAACTGACCTGGCTTGCGGGGGGGGGGGCGGGGGGGTTCCCTGTTAAGAGTCTTTTTTCAGACTCCATCTTTGTGGGCTACTCACCAGGGTGACAACTTCACTTCAAAGCTGTGCCTGTGACAAACATGGCAGGTTCGAGCCCGAAGGGAGGCAAAGGTGAAGCCTGGCCGAGGACCCCATGTCCGCATTGGGGTCTTTGCTAACTTCACACCCAGCCTTGGGACCAGGTTCTCCAGTTCTCTGAAGTGGAGATGGCATCAGGATGGGGTAAGGGGCCTCCAGTGTCCAGGCCCTAGACCTCCCCATCCTCTAATACCAGATTTCTGTACCTATGCAGCTGAGCATCTCCCACTGTAAGCTGTCGGGGCTTTCGGGGGTCCCCAGAGCCCATGGGGCAGGCCATGCTGTGGCAGAGAAGAACATAGGCCCGAGGAGCTAGGTTCTCAGTTCCTGAACCCCTGCCTGCATTCCCTTGGACTCCATCCACTAGCAGATCAATGCCCAAGATGGTGCCATGCTCATCCGTCACCAGTAAGAGGCAGGAAAGGTGCAGAGGGGCAGTCTCTGGGGAAAGAGAGAAAATTTGGGAGAGACAATAGGGAACAAAGATGTACAGGGACAGGAGTATCAAACTCAAATGCTGTGGGGGTTAGGCAAGTAACTTCAGTGAGTAAAGGAGCCTAGGTAGACAGGCCCTGCCTCATTTAAGGCAACTGTTACTACACAGTACCAGAATTTGCCACATGCAGAAATGTAGGCACACTGTCAGAATTTTAGATTTTTCTTAAGGAAGTATAAATCTAGACTTCTGGGGATTTGGGGTTTTCTTCTTTTTTGGTAATGGGGATCAAACATAGGGTGCTTTACTACTAAGATACATATTCAGCCCTTTTTATTTTTTATTTTGAGACAGGACCTCATTAAGATGCTGACACCCTCAAACTTGCAGTCCTCCTGCCTCAGCCTCCCGAGTTGCTGGAATTATAGGCATGCACCCTGGTGCCCAGGTCATACTTTTGGATTTTCATCACTTTCAATGTTTAAATGTTGATTTGAAAAACAAAACAAAAAACACTGTGGTTGATGAAAACACTTTTTTGGGCCAGATGATCCAAAGGCCACCAGTTTGTGACCCCTAGCTGAGTCTGAGTGAGAGGGGATGGCCTCATAAGGGGAGGATGGCTGGGCAGGACATAGGGCAGGCTGGCCCTGGGTTCTTACCACTCCTGCGTTCCTTTCTCTTCTCAGGTCCCATTTCATCCTCCACTTTGTAATCTCGGCAGCCATCCTCACCACATGCCTCCTGTTCAGCCTCCTCTGGCTCCCCTGGAGGCTTGGCTTCCTGAGGGGATTCCCTACTGGTAGTGGCCGGTTCCCCATCCTCCTGTGGTTCCACCTTCTCTGTGCCTGCACCCTCCTCCTCTCCATTCTCTCGTACTTCATCTTCTTCCCCCTCCTCTTCCCCTTCCTCCCCATCCTCTAGGCTGACAAAGCTGACATAGGGGCTCAGGTCTTGAAGGTGGAGTGGAAGCTCATCTCCCAGGAGCCGGGCAGCCCCCAGGCCTGGTCCAAGGCCTGGCTCTGCCCCTTGCCCCAGGCTGATGCCCACACTACGGTTGGGCAAGACATGGAGCACCCAAAGGGCGGGGTCCTGGGGCAGCCTTCTGATTTGAGCCTCCAGCTGTCGCCAGCGGCCCTCAAGGCTGGCCCCTACAGCCCCCCGTTCTGCCACAAACTTGCGGAACCAGCCAAAGAGGAGAGCAGCGAAATCAAGGAACTCATCGCGGTATCCAGACACAAACTCCATGTCTTCAGGGGCACAGGGCCTGGGCCCAGACTAAGCATAGGAAGTAATAGGGTAGTATTGAGAAAGTTTGGGGCAGGGTCACTAAATGGGCGAGAATGGGGTTTTGAAGGTCACTTAGGGTGGATCTATGGATGAATATTAGGAGCTGAGAGTAGGGTTTTTGGGAATGAGGATGGGAGATTGGGGTGAGAATGGTGGAGGAGGCGCGGGATTGGAAAGTGAGCTATTAGCGTTGAAGATGAGTACTCAGGGATGAGATGGTATTTTGAGCTCAAAATTTGGGTACTCAAATTCTCTAAAGTAAGGTTTTAATTAGAGGTAGAGATGAGGTAGAGTTAATCCTATAGGGAAGGGCTTGTGAGGAAGGAAGACCCACTGATCTATGGGGTATGGGAAGAGGGAATAGGAGCTGAGGCATCCCTTGGACTTTGGCGTGAGCCCCAGTAGACCTAGCCCTACCCGGTCGCCCTACTCTTCCGGTACCTGCAGCCGCCACTACTTTTCGAAGGTAAATACCTTGGGTGGGGGGCGGTCGTGACGTTAGGGCTGCCCGAGCCCACGGCCAGTCCCTCGGGTGGCCACGCCCCCCCCCCCCCCCCGAACTGGGTGTCTTGGCGGGTGGCTGCCCTAGCCAGTGCGTGCGCTGCTGAGCCTGAGTCCTCTGACCGCTTCACCTCTGCGCACCGCAGAGTGGATCCCGCCGCGATGGAGCTGAGGAGCCGGGGAAGTGAAAGCATGCTGGAGCAGGTGGGAGTCTAGCCGTTCATCCATTTCACAGGTCCGCGGACTGGCCTGTGGCGGCCAGAGGGGCTGGCATCCCTGAACCGAACTCGATCATCCCGTATAGTAACTGCCCGCCTACCCAGACTCGTCTCACCCCGAAGTCTGAGTTTTCTTTCGGTTTCGTCGGACATTCCTGACCGCCCCCTCACTCCACTCTGGGTTAGGCACCGGGCTAAGGAGCTCCGCTTTGGGGATTTCCTTGTCGCGGGTGGCAGACGCGGCACGGGCTCGGAAATACTGACCAAAGGTCGGTTCGGGACGGCGCGAGCGCTGGGCGGAAGGCCGCCTCCACCTCGCGCCCTCTCCCCAGCCGAGACTTGGCACCTACGGCCCCCCGCAGTCTTCTCCAGAACCTGAGGCGGGCGGGGGAAGGAAGCGAAAGCCATCGAGCAATTAGCTGGACGTCACACTCTCCGATCCGGAGTCAGGGAGAGGCAGCCCTATGAGCTAAACTCCCCCCCGAACCCGGAGATGAGACCGAGCTCGGGACTCCTGCTCCCCGAGCTCCTATTTCTGCTAGTGCTGCTGATTCTGCCAGGTTAGTCTGGAGCGGGTTCGTAGTCCGGAGCCTGGAGTCCCCGGAAGAGAATGCGCTAGGGAAGGGGACACTAGGGCCGCGGTGTTGAGTGCAGAACTGGGGCGCTGCAGGGTTCCCAAGGCAATTGGGACATGGGGAAGTTGCTTGGGATTGGGAACGGAGGCTGGAGACAGTGGGGTCCTGGTGGGATTATGGACGTTTTGGAGGGGTGCGGTGTGTGATGTGTGGGTTGAGGCTGCGGGTCAGACCCCCGAGGCCTAGGGGGAGAGGCTGCATGGGACAATGAGTTGGAGACTAAGTAGATTAAGTACTAGCGGTGGGAGATTCTTGGCCTGAGAACAGGTACGATCGCCTCTATCCCGTTCAGGAGATGGCAACGAAGGCAGCGTCGCTGGAAGCTGTCCCTGTGATGAAAGAATTTCTTTTAATAACCCAATACCCTTGCAAACCATGAATCGTTACCGAAGAAACCTGAGAGCCTACCGTGACTGTCGAACCCACATCTGGTAATCTCCCTCACCCAGCTGGCAGCGCCTAACTGTCCGTCCCTGCCAGTTGTCTCCAGGAATCCTCTCTGGTCAAACGCGAACCCCCTCGGGGTGAATCCTGCCCCATCTCCGAGTTCTGTTCCTTCTAATTCTCTGCACCATCTTTTTTCTGTTTCACTTCACTGGGGATTTCCAGTCTCCGCAGAAACAACTTTCTTTGGGTGACGTTATGTCTTTGGAATGAGGGAAGGTGGGGAAGGTGCTGCTGCTGAGACCAGGTTCTGTTTCTTGCAGGTTTGAGCTAATTAGACAGAACGTATGTGGGAGCATCAAAGACCCAAGGGTTCGTGAATTAATGAGCTGCTTTGATCGCGGAGGTGAGAACTTTGCCTTTCCTCCTCAACTTTGGGCATGGCAGCTTTCCACCTTATAAATTCCTTCGCCTCTGCCTTTAAGCCGAGACACTACATCCTTGAAGCTTCTGATTCTGGCCAAAGTACTTTCGCTTAAGTCCACACCTACCAAACATCATTTATCAGCTCCTTCATGATTTTTTTTTTTTTGCCAATTCTACCTCATGTGATATTTTGTACTTAATGTTTTTCTTGAAATCACTATCATATAAAACGTTTTCATATTTAAAATAATCACTGTTGTATTTTCCTTGAAATCACTTGAAGGCACTATTTTCATTTTCCAATATTTAATTATGAAAATTTAGACATATATAAAAATTTAAAGAATTGTACAATGAACAATGATATGTTCACCTAGACTGCAATATTTGATTTATATATACCTATATCTCACATATAAAGCAAATATTTACCATATGTGATATTCACAATATTGAGATTACATCATTTTACTGTATTAGCTTATTGCATATCCTTCTCTATCATTAACCCATCTTATTTTTTAAAAATTTTGTTCTACATTTTTATTGGTGCATTATAGTTGTACATAATGGTGGGGGATTTGTTGTTACATATTCATACATGTACATAATATAATAATATAATTTGGCCAGTTTCACTGCCCAGTGTTTCCCCTTGCCCTTCCCTTCTCCATCCCCCTGGTCCCTTTCTTCTGTTGTACTGATCTTCCTTTGATTTTTATAAGACCCCCCCCCCTTCATTCCCTTTTTCCTCTTCCACGTATGACAGAAAACATGGCCCTTGACCTTTTTAGTTTGGTTTGTTTTGCTTAACATAATGTTCTCAAGTCTTCCATCCATTTTCCTACAATTTCATTTTTCTTTAGATCCATCTTATTTTTTGATGCCTGCCTGCCTGCCTTTCTCTCTCTATTTCTTTCTTGAACCCAGGGGCACTTCCTCATTTTTCTTTAGATCCATCTTATTTTTTGATGGATTTCTTCTCTCTGTCTCTCTCTTTTTCTGGTACTGGGGATTGAACCCAGGGCACTACCACTGAGCTACATCCCCAGTCCTTTTTATTTTTTATTTTGGGACAGGGTCTCCCTAAGTTGCTGAGAGTCTTGCTAAATTGCTGAGTTTGATCTTGAACTTGTGATCCTGCCTCAATTTGTGTCTCACAGCGGCTGACTTTGTGATGCACTTCAACCTAAGTTGTAGGCATGGTTATATTTCATCCCAAAATGTTTAAGCTTGTATATTATTAAGTAGAGTTCAAAATTTCACTGCTGTTTTTTGGGGGTATATTTTGCATATAGAAGTGAATAAATCATAAATGTACACAAGTTGGTTTTGCAAAAAAAAGTTATTTAACAATTTATCCTAAAAAATGTTACCTGTGAAGTCACTATATATTTTTATTTATTTATTTTGGTACCACAGATTGAACCTAGGGGTGCTTAACCACTGAGCCACATCCCCAGCCCTTTTAAAAATATTTTATTTAGAGACAGGGTCTCAATGAGTTGCTAAATGCCTCCTAAATTGCTGAGGCTGGCTTTGAAATCATGATCCTCCTGCCTAAGCCTCCTGAATTGCTGGGATTATAGGTGTGCACCACTGCACCTGACTGAAGTCACATATTTGATGTGCTGATTGTATTTTGCTCTTGAAATAAATACACAACTATTTAAATACAAAATGTTCTTTGATGTCCTACCTAAAATTGTGAAGTATAATCCTTCAGGCTACATAGACCTGTTATTTCTTTAATCCTCCCAGCTACCCTGGCCCTTGGTACTACAATTATACTCATTTGACAGATGAAAGAAGTTAGTCCCAGAGAGTTTAGAGATGAGGGGCAAGGTCAAACAGCTGTTTTGTGGCACAGCTCAGTGTACAACCCAAGCCTCCTGATTCTCCAGTTCAGAACATTCACTTGTCTCAGTTGTTCTATCTTGGGGTTTGCGAACTTCCTTGTCCCCTGCCTTTCCCAGCTGTTGCTGTCTCCCTCCCTCTCTTGGCCTTCAGTTGTCCCCTTGATGTTGTCCTTGACCTACTATCCTTCCCTTTGTTGAGGCTTGGGACACCATACCCCAAACCATGGCCCCTTAACAATTGAGAAACTGCCAAAGCAAGCTCACTCTGACCTTCCACCATCTTTCTGTGTTCCCTAAAGGAATTCTATGGGGAATTCCTACCTCATCTGAAAATAAGTCATAATATTCTCCTTCCATAGGGGTCCTGCCCTATACTGGGAGGCCAAGAAGAATTGGAATAGGCAAGCTTTGCTAGTCTCCTCCAACCCCATTTATCACCACTAGATCATACCCTTTTTGTACATACTTCTACATAACTGTCCATTCTTCATTCAATCTAAGGACAAAAATATTTTTTCCTGAATCTGGGTCTTCTTTCTGAAGGCTCCCATGCCCTGTAAAACTGATTAAATACATTTGTTATGCTTTTCTCTTGTTAATATCTAATTTCTTTGGGGGATACATTGGGGTTAAACTCAGGAGTGCTCTCTCATTGAGATACATCCCCAGTTCTTTTAATTTTTTATGTTGAGACATGGTCTCCCTAAGTCTCTGAGGGTTGCTAAATTGCTGATGCTGGTCTCAAATTTGTAATCCTCCTTCCTCAGCCTCCTGTGTTGCTGGGATGGCAGGTGTATGCCATCACACCCAGCTTTAATCTTTTTTTTTTTTTTTTGGTTTTTATAGGGGTGTCAGCCATGATTTGGGGGATGAATGAGGAAATTTACCACTTTTTCTTTCCTGTACCTCTGTCTGCTTTTCACCTATTCCCTGATATCCCTGCTCCTCACTTCTTTCCTCTTCAGAGTGTGGATATGAACATTGGAAGAGTCGGGTCAACCAGGAGCACTTACTTTTTCCCAGCATTCCAATTCCTGAGCCCACAGAGTTGGCACCTCCAGATACGAGCACTCCTACCCAGATGTACCTGCCACCTACTCAGCAGTCTACCCAGCAATTCAAGTTTCCATCAGGAGTGCTGCCTTTGGACAAAGAGTTCACTCACCTAAAGGAAACCACCACTTTCACTGTGGGTTATAATCTGGGAATTGGGTTTAAGGATGGAGAGAAACAGAAGCAGAAGGAAGAAATGGAAGGCACTGCAATTAACAAATCAGTCATGGTGGCAGTGCTGTCCCTCCTGGCCATTGTCTTCGTTCTCACTGGAGTCCTCCTTTATGTGTTGTGCAAGAGGAGGAGGGAACAGTCTCTGCAGTGCTCTCCAGGTAAACTGGGCTTGTGAATCCCTCCCCCAGGGATCCAGGATTCCTTCCTGGCAGGACTCTTGCCCCTGGTAGTTCTCAGGTAGCTAGAAACCTGACCCTGGCACACAAATATTAACATTTCCTGTGCTACAGAACACAGGAAGAGTCAGCCAGAGACTATGGAGTAGAGAGGGAGGGAAGTCACCATGGGCCCAGGGACCAATACTTGGACTTTAAAGTCAGGCAATGCTTGGAGCAACATCAAGGAGATGGCAGCTGGACTAGGCTAGTGGGAAATGAACTTGTGGAAAAGGGTGAGGACCATTCAATAAATTCACAAATCCTCTATTGAGTACTTACTATATACCAGGCCCTAGATGTCTTAGAGTCTGACTCCCCAGTTCAAATTATTATCCACTTCTCCAACTCCCTTTGATCTCAGAGCTCATCTCTATTTCTTTATCCTTTTCAGGTTTGCATTATACACCTGTGGCAACAGTCTTCAATGCCTAAGCCAAGAAATGAAGCTTGTGTGGTCTGGGGTTGTAGCTCAGTGGTAAAGTACCTCCCTAGCCTGTGTGAGGCTCTGGGTTTAATCCTCAGCACATAAAAATACATAAAATGAAAGTATGTGTCCATCTACAACTTGTGAGCCTAAAGTTGGTTTGTTTTTATATTTTATTAATTAATACAACTTCTGACACATATAAGGTACTATATTCAATGTTTAATATGACTAACCAATCAATGAACTTTCTTAGCCTCCTACCCTCATACTGGGGACTGAACCCAGGGCTTCAAACATGCTAGGCAAGTGCTCTACCACTGAGCTACATCCCCAGCATTTTTTTATTTTTGAGTCAGGGACTCTGTAAATTGGCTGGCCTCGAACTTGGATCCTCCTGCCTCAGCCTCTGAGCAACTTGGACTAGAGGCATGTTGTTCCCTGCCCCCCCCCCTTTTGGGGGGGGATTGAACCTAGGGGTGCTTAACCAATGAGCCACATTCCCTGTCCTTTTAAACTTTACATACAGACAGGGCCTTGCTAAATTGCTGACACTGGCTTTGAACTTGTGATCCTCCTGTCTCAGCCTTCTAAACTGCTGGGATTACAGGTGTGCGCCATTGTACCAGGCAAAATTTGTCCCCCTTAAAAAAAATCAATATTATAAAATCTGGGTGCTGAGGATGTACCTCAGTGGTAGAGTGCTTGCTTAGCATGTGTGAGTCCTTGGTTTAAATCCCTATCTATGCCAAAAAAAATCTAAAAGAAAATAAAATCTGCCTTTTATCCTACATAATGATAGCTTAGACAAAATCTATATGTGTTTCTTAACTATTAAAAATTATTTTTAGCATATTATAATGATGTGCCACATCAATGTTTATAGTAGCTCAATTCACAGTAGCTAAGCTCTGGAACCAACCTAGGTACCCTTCAACAGATAAATGGACAAAAAATAAAAGTATTGTGATACACACACACACACACACACACAAGAATATTATTCAGCCATAAAGACTGAAATGTTTGCTGGCAAATGGATGAATCTAGAAATGATCATGCTAAATGAAATAAGCCAATTCCGAAAAACCAAAAGCTGAATGTTGTCTCTTATATATGGATGCTAATACACAATAAGGGGCATGGGGAGGGAAGAATAGAAGTAATTTGGATTAGACAAAGACAGTAGAATGAATCAGATATTACTTCCCTATGTTTTATATGAATACATGACCAGTGTAACTCCATATCATGTACAACTGAAAGAATGCATGTATAATATGTCAAAATAAATTCTATTGTCATATATAACTAAAAATAACAAATTTAAAAAGAAATATAAAAAAAATAAATAAATAAAAATTATTTTTAGGATCTGGGTGGTGGTGCACACCTATAATCCCAGTGACTTGGGAAGGTGAGACAGGAGGATCTTAAATTTGATGGCAGTCTGGACAACTAAACAAGACCCCGTCTCTAAATAAAATAAAAAGGACTGGGGAGATAGCTCAGTGGTAGAATATTCCTGGGTCAATCCCTAGCACTGAAAATTTTTTTTTTTTTTTTTAGAATTGTTGACTCTTTTCTCTATAGACATTTGCTTTAGGCCCTTGCCCCTTACCGTGACACCTGTCTTCAGTTTTGCTGCTGATGGTTCCTCCTAGTCACAAGTATCCTGCACACTATACCAGTGGTTCCTCTCCAACCCCACACCAAAGGTCTGGGCTCTCCCACTTTCCATCCTCAGTGGCTTTGTGCTGATGCAGTTCAGGCCAGGTTTACTTCTTCAATCCCTCACATCACTCAAATATACCCCAATTAAGAATCTGATTTCCTTTAAAAAATTGTTATTGCTTTTATTAATAAAATCCTTAGTTCTTGTTTAGTATCTTCCAATGAGGAAGAACATATCTTCATTAGGCTGTTTTTGGGAGCCTGGGGCAGGGGCATGATGGACATGAGGAAATGGATTGGGCAACTGAATGTCCATCTCCTGAACTTGCTAAATCCAAAGCAGGAACACCCTGCTGGAGGAGTCAAGCCACAGCTGTGGGTAAGATGGGGTTTTAGTTTCTCCATTTCCAACTTCTGGTCCTTGTCTTAAGTCTTCTTTGACCAGCAGGGCATGTATGTTTCAGTTCCTGCTTCCCATCCTGCATGCTTCTAAGTTCTGACCCAAAGTGCAGGTCATAATCTCCCTCCACACTCTGGATCCACTCCTTGGCTTAGTTCTCCAGCATCTGCTCACAGGTTCGGGCCACATCACTGAGCTTGAGACGGGCATAGTCTACTCGCTTCAGAGCCATTTGACAGTCTTTCCTTGAAGAGTAGCTGGAGCCCTCATGGGGCTGCCCAGTGGCCACCTACAGGACAGATAAGACTGATCAGTGAAGCCCTACCTCCCTTACCTAACCCCCAACCAAGTATCAGGTTTCTTGTCTCATTTCTTTCCTGAGTTTGGTCTGCTAAGCAGCCTGGTAGGTGGGTGACAAATCACTTAACTTCTGTTAAGTTCATCCGTGAAATGGTGGTGAAAATAACTACTTTTTAGAGTTGTCGTATTATAAGATAATAATGAATGCCTGGCACACATAAACGTTAGGAAATGGTGATAGCGGTCATAAGGAACCCCCTTAATTCTTTTCTCTTAGAGGAGGAAACAAGTCCTGGAAAGAAGGTGTTAACTCGCCAGTTTGGGAGGCCTGATTTTGCCCAGCTAATGCTCTACTAGAGGATCCCTACGGCTAAGGCTAAGGCGGAGAAGGGGTAGGTGCACAACACATCCCAGACATACTTACCTGGGTGAGGTAGCGGATCTGAGCCGACAGCTCCGCCTCCACGTGCTGCACCGAAGCGGTGAAGGCTGCCGCCTGCCGGTCTAGAAGCCGCTCATTGGTTTTTTCCTTGGACAGTTCCAGGATCACCGTCCCTGTCGGGGCGGGGAGAGGGCGGGGCTCACTGGAATGGGTGAGGCTAATAGGAGACTGGCACTATAGCCCCGCCCTAAGGACGTTCCCACCCTATTTACCGCGCAGGCGCTTAGAATCCCACCCCACCACGCGCCGATGCTCCGGTCGGCGCATGTGTGCGCAGCTCCGGTTAGCTTTTGGCTCTCTGCCTTTTGCTCGTCGCGTTCCGAACCTGCATTCTGGAGGATGGCGCCGATTTCCCGTTCGATGTCTTCCAGGGCGCGTAATCGCTCGTTCGCCAGGCTGTAGGTAGCCATCGTGCCTCTGGGAAACCTCCACGGGATTCCGTCCTTCTGCTTAGTGCAACGCTTAGGGCTCGGAAGTGGCTGTCGGCTTGCGCCTGCGTAGAGGGAACTCTGTAGCGAACACTACAATTCCCAGGATTCCCAGCGCGCACTCGGTCCACCTGGGAACTAGTGTCACTCTCAGGGCGTCCAGCGTCTGGCCGCGTCTGCGCCTTCACCGCGGACCACCTGTGTAAGGGGTAATGTTGAAATAGGTCCTGGTCTGAGAACATTCAGACCTGTCCACCTTCATGCCACTGTTTTGCTGGGCATACTTAGTTGTAAAATAAGAATAGCCGTCTCCTGGGTGCTAGGTGATTGGATTTCTAGGGTATTCCTTCAGACTGGATGGCCATGGGCCCTTTGTCTGCCAACCACGCCCGAGGAAAACTTGACTTGGTGAGTGTTACATTATTCTCCCCAGGGCTTTTCTCTGACTGTGAGTCCAGCCGCAATACAGACTATTGAAGTATTTATTCTCTGTTGCGGGCACCTTCCAGCTTTTTTCTTTTTGCTTTTCTGGTTACCTATGTTGTAGGATCAGGGGAGTTAAAGAAGAATGAGGCGGACTCTCATGTGACAGTTGGATAGATGTTTTGTTAGAGATATGCCCAGGGTGTATCACAAGGAGTCCAAGAGGAAATGCTGCTTGAACTGAATCCCGAAGGGCTAACTAGATGAGAAGTGGGAGTGGAAAAGGGAAACACCGTAGGCAAAAGCATGTGAAAAGGCCTAGCACATTTGAAATCCAGCAAGGGGTTTGAGTGGAGTGTGGTGGTGGTTAGGTGTGACATTGGGGAGACAGGATCCGGGAGCCAGGTTAGGAAAAGACTTGTAAGCTAAGTAATTTGGACTTTATTCTGAAAACATATGGGGACCTTTGAAGGAATTTTAGTAAGTGTTTTATGACCAGATTTACCTTTTTTGGAAAGATCATTCTCTACAGCTTGCAGAAGATCATCAAGAATGAAACTAAGGTGGTAATTACCAGTAATTTCAGGGACTATGGAGGCTGAGGCAGGAGGATTGCAAGTTTGAGGCTAGCCTGAGTAACTTAGACTCTTGTCTCAAGATAAAAAATTTTTAAAAAGGCTGGAGATGTAGTTCAATGGTAGATCACCCTTGGGTTCTATCTCCTGTACTGGGGAAGGGGGAGGGATCCAGTGACTGCATTTTTTCCCATGACTCAGCACACTTAATTTTTTTCCTCATAAAATAGTTGGGTATGGATAATTCAGTGCTCCACAAATCATACAGGACCAAGGCTTTCAGTGTACCTGGGCCATCTTTAGGGTCTTATCCTCAAAAGTGTGGTCTTCAGTCCAGCCTCATTGACATAACCTAGAAACTTGTTAGAAATACAGAATCTCAATCCCCAACCCAGACCTGCTGAATCAACTTTGTGGGGTTTTTTTGGGTGTGTGTGCGTGCATGCGCGCGTTTGGTGCCAGGGATTGAACCCAGGGGCACCTAACCACTGAGCCACATCCTCAGCCCTTTTTTATATTTTATTTAGATACAGGGTCTTGCTGAGTTGCATAGGGCCTTGCTGAGTTGCATAGGGCCTTGCTGAGTTGCTGAGGGCAGCTTTGAACTTATGATCCTCCTGCCTCAGCCTCCTGAGCTGCTGGTATTGCAGGCCTGTTTCACTGCACCTAGCCAGTGTTTCTTTTATGATCCCCTGGTGATTTGTACGCGTAGAAAATTTGAGAAATACACTCTAGAGCATGTGTTGTTTGCATTGTCAAAATAGTTGTTTCCATTCCTGGGTTGCAGCTGGCAGAAGCCGGGAGAGAAAATGCAGAGGAGGCTCACCTGTCTCAGGGAAGTAACTCATATCACTGCTACTCACATCCATTGAAGAAAACTTAGTCAGATGGTCTCTGA